AATAGCATCTCAGAGGCCTCTTTAAAAAAAACAAAACACAAGCATGGCCTGGAAGATGGTGTAGAGGTCCAAAGCCCCCGTGGGGGTACCTGTTTCTTCTATTTCTAACCTAGAGTTGGTGCATCTGTGTGCAGTGTGCGCACTCGCCAACAAAACCGAAGCTTAGCATAACCGCAACCCCAGTTTCGGAGAAAAGCCCATGCCCCATGTGATTTGCTGGAACTGCTGGCTTTACTTCTCCACATCAGAAACCACATCCTTGTTTACATGGGGGGGGTAGAGATGAGTCACTTGCTCCCATGATGCAGCGTGCTGCAGCCCGCCAAAAGTGTTTTTGAGCAATATCATTTTGACTGTTGCTTTGTCACCGTTACTTGATGAGGGGATGGTAACAGAAGGAGCTTGGTTGGATACAGCTCTAAGGAGGCCAGGTGTCTCCCATTGGGGTCGTTGAGCGAAAGCCCGTCTAACAGCTAATGTCTCCTCTCTCTTCCACTGTGCAGAAAGTCCCAGAACATTACTGGCATAGAGTGGCTTTGAGGATAGGGTTCCTTCGGTAACACCATTATTAATGTCATGTGATGTGCCACTCTCCTGGCTAGTCCTCCTTTCCTGCCTGCTAGATTCTGAATCTGTGCAGTCTTGTGGCAGGCCAGTTCTCAACCCCCCCCCCCCCCATCCCCAAGCATTGTACTGGGAGTCCTCATTCAGCAACTGCCTTGTTTTAGCAATTGTTCACAATCATGACAATGATGAAAAAGTACCTTTACCGATTTTGCAGGTCTGTAAATCAAAGGAAAACTGAAATGAGCTCATAGTCGCTTAGCGACCGGTTTGCTTAACAACCAAATTGCCGGTCCCAATTGTAGTCGCTAAACAAGGACCGCCAGTAAGCGTCTATGTATGTATTTAGTTACTTTAATTTCGATGCTACCCATCTCCCAAGTGACTCTTTGCAGTTCGCACGTGTAAACCAATCAATAACATAAATTAAAAAAAAATTCAAAGGGCTGGAAAGCCCAACTGCTCCATCATTTGACTTCTCAGATGAAGCACTACCTTAAAAGCAATTAGGGCAGAATGCAAGGAGCGGTTGTCCCATGCTCCTCTGAAAAACAGCTCCTTTCACTAAGGATTGAATCTCTGAATGACTTAATTTAGTTTGCAGTTGAGCATGTGGTATAACTTTTCTTTAAACCTCTTCGAAAGACCTTGGCCTGCCCCCCCCCCAAGAATAATAACAACCTGCTACTTTACATCTACTCTCATTGATGTGCATTTCAAATGGGGGTGTGTGTGTGTCTTGCTGTTTGCTCCAGATATGCCCCGTGAGGATGTTGTGTTTCCTGACAGCTTCAGAGGAGTTGCACAAAAAAGTCTTGTCTGTGCCTGAAGCAATGGCAGATCTGCTAGCTAGGCGGTTGTGAAGGCAGGAAGAGAAGCAAACAGGGAAGGCAGAAGGCATGGTGCAGGAAAATGGGAGGAATTGTTGCTTACAAGGATCTAAGTAGAGGCGGGAAGCAGGCCTGGTGGAACCTAATGCCATTGAGGAAGAGGTCCAGTGGTCTTATTCTAGAGGGTTGGCCATGCAGTTTTCCTTGCTTTTGAAGATGTGTTTCCTCCGCTCCTTCCTGTTCTTCCCCTGCCATGCCAGCTCCACTGAATGGAAAGATGCAAAAGGCCAAATTCTCCCTCGCCGTTGCTACAGCAACTTACAAGCTCTACAGCAGGGATCTTCAAACTTGGCCCTTTTATGATTTGTTGACTTCACCTCCCAGAATTCCTCAGCCAGCATGTCTGGCTGAGGAATTCTGGAAGTTGAAGTCCACAAGTCATAAAAGGGCCAGGTTTGAAGACCCCTGCTCTACAGCAACTGCATTGTCACCTAAGCTTTGTTTTCCACCAGTGTTCGACTGCGGCACTCATCTTCCCATAATCATTTATCCTAGTTGCTGAAGGTAGTGAGAGTTGTACTTAAACACATCTGAAAAAAGGCTGCAGCAAAGTATGCCTGCGTGATTGAGGCTATCTCCTTATTATAGGTAGTCTTCAACATAACGACCATCGCTCAACAACCGTTCAAAGTTACAACACACCATCCCAGGGCTACTTACAGCCCAGATCTGAAGTTCCAATGTGTCACACAAACACACCCTTAGTCACATGATCAAATTTTTGGTGCTCGGCAACCAGCCTGCACTTATGGCCATTTGCAGCGTCCCACCGTCATACGACTGCAATCCAGCAAAAAAAACACACCGCCCATTGAGGTCAATGGATTCACTTAACAACCACCGCATTTGCTTAATAACTACAGTGATACCCTTAACAACCACTGCAAAAAAAAGATTGCAAAATCAGGTGCAACCCACTAAACTACCAGCATGACTGTTGTACCTCCCGGCTCAATTACACTTGTAAATCAAGGATGCCCATAGTTCCTTCTATCCCCTGTAGAGAATGAGTGGGTGGTCTGCCAATATTGCATGAGACCCCATTTTAGAGTTTGCTAAAGGCCCCTGTGCCAAGATTGCCCCTCTGAAATGAGCTTCAAGACGTAGAAGTTTCCCAGCCCAACTTTTTTTTTCTTTTGCAAAAATAAGGGCTCAGTGGGTCTGTCTTCTCACCTCTTCTTCAGCCCATCTCACAACTCACTGAAGAATAAGACCATATTGCCACCATTTGCACCAACAATTGTAGGGCATGATCCAAAAGTACATATAGCTCAACAAAGAAATCCTTCACACTGATTTCACCGATCAATGTAAATTTCTCAAGAAATTCCTCTTTTGTTTGTGACCTCATTTCCCATTTTCTTTGGATTTGACTCCTCCCGATTCACAAAAAATACTTGAACCATGTATTTGCGCTTTGATAAGAACAGAACTGGGAATCTTTTTTTTTTCTAAAACAGTCTAGGGCTGCTGATTGAATTAAGTTAATTCAATAATTTAATTAAATTCTGTTATGTCAGTTGCAGCAGGATATGGAAGCAGAAACTGTTCTGAAAAAATCAAAATAGGAAGAAATGTTGGCACTTCTCTGTAAATGTTTCTTCGATAGGCTATGGTGCTGCCGGGGTAATTTATTTTCCAGAGATGTTCCTTTGACTGCCTCTCATTTTGTGATCCTCCCGAACTTTTGCCTCAATGAGCTTTTTTCTCACTTGTCTCTCCTCCAACCTGCAGAGGCTTCCATTTTAAGATGGGAAAGCTGCTTTGTCTTGTTTTTTTTGTTGCCTTTTCAGCACCCCTTATCAGTTTCACTACGGTATCATTTGCTCCCTTGTTGTGGTTTAGTTGATGAAGAATGGAACCAGAGCGTTCAGGTTTTGATTGCTAGATTACTCAGTGAAAGATTTAGTTTGACTTATTTTTGAACTGCACGTAGAAGGCTAAAGTTACTATAAAAGGGGAAAAACTAATTTAGTACCAGAAGAAAGAGGAAACAAAACCTTTTCAGTTTAATGGATGTCCCTGATCAAATGCCATCTAACTGATGTATTACAAAGATGTGTTGCAGGTGGTACTAGTGGAATAAAATTGCATACTATAAAGGCAAGCCCCTAATTCCATGTTCATCTGCCATGAGAGAATTCGAACTTCTTCATGGAAGTTGCAGAACTCACGATCAACCAAATCCTTAAAAATGAGGCACGGGATTGGTGGCACTTGCCTTCAAGAACGTATTGAATCCTAGAAGCCAAATAACGATGGCTGACTTTGCATTTCAACTCAGCAGAAGGAGAGAAGCCAATGCCTCCTATATAGCACCTCTTATTTCTTCTTCCCTTGATTTGTCGTACTGCTACACAACTTGTATTTTTTTAAAAAAATAATCAAAAATAAAAACCTGTTTCTGTACTCAGAAAAAAAAAATCTGGAACTGAATTTCTATCCCAGTTGAAAGAACAAGAAATTGATTCAGGGTTGCGGCCTTCTTGGCTGCAGATTCAAAAAGATCTCCAGTTTTTACTCTTATGGATCCTTCTTCGGGATCTTTGAGTAGCTTACATACGGTCAGGAAACTTGTGGTCTGGAACATACGACACCAAAAGAAAAGAAGAAAAAAAAGCAGGGAGTAGGACTGGGTGAGGAGCAAACAGTTTAGACCAGGGGTAGGCAACCTCGGCTCTTTTATGACTCATGGACTTCAACTCCCAGAATTCCTGAGTCAGCATAGCTTTAGCTTATGGATATGTGTGTTCTTTTTAAAAAAAATGTATTTAAAGAAGCCATCATGCAAAGACCTGGCCCTTAATGTCAAAATCTGACTGGAATTCTATTTAATAAAATGGAACTGAATCCTTGTTGCTGTCACTAAGAAGCTCACCAATCTCGTTTTCTCATTCAATGTGAAGAGCTGTTCCGTCTTAGTGGGTTGGAAACTAACTCTCTTGCCTGGGCCTGTTGGGGAGGGGGGATGATGGAATCATATATCAGTGAAGGGAGGGGCCTTTTTTTTTTAATGCCCTTTTGGGCTGAAGCTGGGAAATTCTGGGAATTGAAGACCACACATATTAAAGTCACTGAGACTGAAAAACAGTGTCCCCAAACATTGGTTTTATCTCTTAGGTCAGGGGTAGGCAACCTTGGCTCTTTTATGCCTCCTATATAGCACCTCTTATTTCTTCTTCCCTTGATTTGTTGTACTGCTACACAACTTGTATTTTTTTATTCCTGAGCCAGCATGGCTCAGCTTGGAAGCCTCTCTCTTTCCCCTCAGCATGGCTGGCTCAGGAATTCTGGGAGTTGAAGTCCACGAGTCATAAAAGAGCCGAGGTTGCCTATCCCTGGTTTAGATGAAAAGAAAGGCTGCGAAATTGGTCTTCAAGCATTGCTGATGGAGTGATTCTGCATCTCATCTCCTTCCCCGAGTCACTTAGATGCCAGGAAAAAAGGGATTGGGGCCTAGACCTCTGCACCTCATTTTTCTAGGCCTTTCTTGGGAAGCCAAGCGTGGCGTTGCACTGACCGTATCCTCCTGTTTCCTTTTCCTAGCTGACCAGGTATACGGTGACCAAGACATGCACGAAGTGGTCAGGAAGCACTGCATGGACTACTTGGTGAGTGAGAGCGGGAGTGCTGTGGAGGGGCAGATTTCCGCCGCCATCTCTTTGAGTCTGACATTCAGGACTGCAGCTGTCAGGCATCCTGGCAAGAACCAGGGCAGATCAGGTTAGGCTCCTGGGCAGCTGTCTCTGGGGAAAGTGCCTCTTTCCTGCCTAGGAATTTTCCTGAAACCCGAAGCTCTGGAACTGCTACTACAGTCATCAGTTATCCAGCCAGTGAAAAAAGGCCTCCCTTTTTTTTTTAAATTTGTGTCTACAACTCACAGCCGCGATTCACTGTTAAGAACAAGCCCACAGCATTCCTGTTCTCCCACCCCCACCCCCAAATTTGCTAGCACAGATCAAAAGGTGTCAAGACTAAATCTTCTGTATTAACCAGCTGCTTGTAAAGGTTGAGGTTCAGGCAGCCATCTGTGAATAGCTTGCGAGAGCGATAGGGGCGTTGCGCTGGCCTTGCACAATCTCATCAAAAGGGAAACGATTCTGCAGAATTATTTTGGGTATGCCAGAGGAGAAGCTGTTTCCCCTTCTCCCCCCCCCAAACATTTCCCATGTCTCTGGGTTAACTCAGTTGTACAGGTGGCCTTGTTTAAAACATGACTCCCGTGGCTTGATCGGGGAAGCAAAGGGAGCCCTTTTTTCACCGATCCAGGGTGTATACTGAGAGCCTTTCCTTGGAAACTTATTGTCCTGCTTTTGCTTCTTTTGCCCACCTGGGAGTCTGTCTGCTTCCCTCTCATCTTGAGGCCCTCCCTCATTTCAGATGAAGAATGCCGACTACTTTTCCAATTACGTGACGGAGGATTTCACCACTTACATTAACCGCAAGCGGAAAAACAACTGTCATGGCAACCACATTGAGATGCAGGCTATGGCAGAGATGTACAACCGACCTGTGGAGGTTTACCAGTATGGCACAGGTATAGGCACCTGTCCCCTGTTTCAGCTGCATCCCTGATTCTTCTGAACATCCATTTGGGCAAGTGGAGTTGTTGCTTCCCTGCCTGTCCTATAGAAGAGCCAACGTCACCCATGCTGTCCTGCCATTTTTCCCTTCCAGAGCCCATCAATACTTTCCATGGCATCCATCAGAATGAGGATGAGCCCATCCGGGTGAGCTATCACCGCAACATACATTACAACTCCGTGGTGAACCCCAACAAGGCTACCATTGGGGTGGGACTAGGGCTGCCCTCCTTCAAGCCAGGGGTGAGTTTTTCCTGGTCGACATCTGGGGGGAGGAGGCTTTTTAGGATGGGCAAAAGGTTGGTGGCCAATATCCTGTTCCATTCTCGTTCCTCGTGAACTGGACTATTAGCTGCACTATTTTCCAGGATAATAGATAGGAACGTGGCCACGGCCCAGCTTTGGAAGATTGGGGCAAAGAGAATTTTATAGGTCAGAAGGGGTAAGGAAAAACATGGACAGTGGGTTTTGTGAGCACAACTTTCCAGAATGGACACCCAACATTTGGACGGTTCTAAGGTCTATGTTTGACTTTTGGAGCTGCATTCCAAAAATGGACGTGTCTAAGATAAAGTAATAGCTGGACCTTAGGCCAAGGCTAATTTTGATTGAATTTTACCTTAGTTCAAGTACTTAACTATGGCTATCATATAATTATTTCCCTTGTAATCATTATGTCACTATTTTTCTTTTCTGCCTCATTCAAAAATATATGTTGACGGCAACGATTGGAGGGAAGGATGTTTGGGGAAAGGACTGCATCCAAGATTTGGGGAAGCTTTTAACAGATGCACCTCTTTTCCAAAGAATAAAACAGTTGCTCCAATAGAGCTTTGTCTCATTTGATGAAAGTTAACTTGATCCTACTTTTTTAAAAGACATTTTTAAACAGGTAGCTCTTTTTAAGCCGTAGTGCAGTGTTTCTAAGCCTTGGTGACTTTAAGATGCGTGGACGTCAACTCCCAGAATTCCCCAGCCAGCATGTTCATACATGCACCAGCCAGTCCACACAACTTAAAGTCATCAAGGTTGAGAAACACTGCTGTAGTGCATAGGTTGGGGGTCCCACATCCTATAGGGACAAGAGAATCTGTTCAAATCATGGCCTACTCGCCATCCTGATACTTCTATACACATCTCAAGTAACCACCTCTAGCGCGTCCTCCAATGCCAGCTGGGGAATTCTAGAAATTTGAAGTCACATATCTTCAAACGGCCATGGTTTAGAAACTTCCCAGCCTGGCCCTTCAGCTGCGAGGAGACTACCATTTGTTTCCTTCCTAGATCTAGCAAAGCAACCATTCTCCAAGGCTGCTTCTGTATTGCTTACTACGGCAATTTAATCCATCTCTTCCCTATGTTGGGGAGAAATTGAGCACCTGTCTGTTGTCTGTTCTCCCTAGGTGACCATCAGGAAAAGGCTTCCCATTCTTCCCCAGTGCTGGCATTTGGAGGGATCTTCACATTTTGTAGCTGTAGCTCTGTTTAAGAAAAAAGGCTTAGGGGTTGTTAGGACTGCGATGGGCTTGCTAAATCTCCTTTTGCTCCTTATAGTATGCAGAGCAGTCCTTGATGAAGAATGCCATCAAGACCTCGGAGGAGTCCTGGATCGAGCAGCAGATGCTGGAGGATAAAAAGCGAGCGACCGACTGGGAAGCCACCAACGAGGCTATCGAAGAACAGGTTGCCAGAGAGTCTTATTTGCAGTGGCTGCGTGACCAGGAAAAGCAGGCCAGACAGGTTTGGCTCTTCTTTCTTTGCACAGGAGGCAAATGAGAGCCGGCAGGATACCTTGGGGTCCCTGCAGGACTGCGGGCATGGGCATGAGCAAATAGTCCTTCTTGGCAACTGAAATAATAAATAAAAAAAGTCCATAGCTCCCTGACCAGCACCCCTGCTCTTCTTCCCTCAGCCCCGCAAAGCCAGTGCTACTTGCAGCTCTGCCACGGCGGCCGCAGCGAGCGGTTTGGAAGAATGGAGTGGTCGTTCCCCACGTCAGCGCAGCTCAGCTTCTTCCCCGGAACACCCCGAGCTGCACAACGAGCTGAATGCTGCCAAGCCCCCTTCTCCTGGAAGCACCGCAGCCCTAGCACTTACCAAGCCCCCCTCGCCATGTGCTCCAGGTGAGTGTTCTGTGGGTTGGGCTGGGAGGTGGAAGCTTGCAGTGTTTGGGACATTACAGGGCAGTGTCAGGCAACGTGATTCCTCCAGCATCCTTAAGACAGGGCCCATGGTCTCCCAACGTTGAATAACATTCTTTTACAAAAAATGTCTGGGATCTCCCTGGATTAACTACATTTCATAAGACTGCAGTTTTGCATTGCAAGATCCCTAAATTTTTCATACCGTACGTTTTCGGACACTTAATGTTTCTGGCATGAGGCACTCAGACCATTACATGACAAGATTGCTAATGAATTGGGAAGTTGACTTTTCCTTGAGACACACATGTCAAACAAGTGCCAGCACATCATTTCAGTATAACAAATCACCTGCAATATTTGGGGGGGGGGAAGGAGGGAGGGAACAAGGGCTTCTATGTATTCTTAATTGTCAAGTCATAAGACAGGATTGGTTATGCAACATGTCAATTTCCTGCCTACATAGGAAGTAGTTGCCCTGGGTTTTCTTCCAGGAACCAAGTTACTTGTGCAATAGTATTAAAGCCATACCTACAGATGCTACTAAACAAACTATAACATGTCTTAACTTACACAGGCTGGACCTTCCTTTGGAAGGTGCAAAGGGTGACTGGGAGAGCCCTGTGCTTTCTTCCTTCATAGCTGCATCCTTCCCACCAGTTTAAAATTTTAACTATGCAGTTTGGAGAAAAACATATAGATGGTAACCTGATTAGAGCAGGGGTGAAGATGAGGGAACTAGTTTTGCATACATTCAGAAAATTGCCAGGCACTTTTTAGTTGATCTCTCTGAGAAACTGTACCATGTATTAATGAAAATATAATAATCGGTTAAAGTCGACACAAACAAAAGTTGGAGATAATGCCTTTTTTGGGCAAAATATCTAATTCTTACATACATACAATTTTAACATAAGATTTAGCTTTGCGGAGTTAGAAACTACCATCCTTAAAAGAAGGCAATTCCAAAGAGCAAAACAACTCAGAGAGAAGAATAGCTTAACATCTAGTTGTTAGAAAGTAGTTCTCCCCCTTCCCCCCCTGGCAGACCTTCGTAGCCAAGTTCTGTTGAGACACCATTGTTGGGAAGGGAATATCCTAATCATAATTTCATCTTTGTTTTCTGGCCTAGGGCTGGCAAAATCAACCATTGCAACCTTTCTACCCACACTTTAAATAGCACCTTGAATGACTCTATTGCTTAGAGAACAGCAAATGGATGATGAACTTGGGTCATATGTTATGGGCCATGTCAGAATCCACACCATTTTTTTTTAACCTTGTGCATTGCATTAAGATTGGTAGCTACCTTTTTTAAAAAAAAAAGAAGTTGAAATTCTCAGGAACTTTGTCTTGTCTCAATAATCCTTTTATCTATGCTAAGTTCTGCCTTGCAAAACATTTACAAGAAATGTAGATCTTGCAGGGGTTATTTCTCAGGGGAAAAACAATTGTTGGCATTCCTTTAAAGAAAGTTGTACTTATATAAACATCCCAAGTCTTCAGATAATCATCTGCAATGGGTCACTCAGTTCTGAACCTTGCAATGCAAAGTTTTCATTTGCAGTTTCCATCACTCACAGGTACAAGCAGCCAGCTGTCTGCAGGCGGCGGGCGAGTAACCCCTCCCTTAGTGTCGTTGTATCCAGCCCTGGAGTGCCGGGCAATAATGCAACAGATGTCACCCACAGCATTTGGTAGGTGCCCTCATTTTGCCCTGCAGGCATGACTGGAATCTTGGATTACCCGGTTTTCAGCTTTCATACCTTTAAAAAGCAACATCTGGTGTTGCAAGCCATGCCAATGTTACAGTCCGTCTCTTCAGTTTCACTGTACAGAATTTCACATGTTGAAATGCGAAATCCTTAAATCTTGTGGACTGGAGGTAAAGTTTTAAACTGCCCTTCTCCAGGTTTTATACAAAACAGCTGGCTTTGACACTAGATGACATTGTCTAGTACAGGGGTAGTCAACCTTGGCTCTTTTATGACTCGTGGACTTCAACTCCCAGAATTCCTGAGCCAGCCATGCTGGCTCAGGAATTCTTCGAGGTGAAGTCCACGAGTCATAAAAGAGCCAAGGTTGCCTACCCCTGGTCTAGTAGCTGCAGCCATGCAGGTTTCCAGGGCAACCAAATCTTAATATTTATTTATCCACAGCACGATGGTGACCATTTGTTTGTTTGTTTTTCTTTTCTTTTTTCCTTTTTGGCATAGGAAAAGAAAGAATGTAGTCAAAAGAATATAGTCAAGATAAGTGCATCGTAATTACCATTCGCGCATCACACTTGTTTTAGAATTTACCCGATTAAAAAAATGGGAAGGGTGTGAATCTTGCCTAAATTCAGGAATACAGGGGTTGTGAGCTCTCTCTATAGGAAGGAATCTGGGAAAGCTGCAAATGGTTAACGTGAAAGCCCTGTCCAGAGTGTTACCTGGGCTGGTGGAAATGGATTTCTAGGGGAAACTAGATTGACTCCTGTGTGTGAAAGAGGATTGGTGGCCAGGAGCAGTCAAGACAACAGGTGATGTGGCACTACGAAACAGGGTTGGAAGAAGTATAGTTCCCATCCTTGAGCATCGACTGTGCTGGTAGAGGCAGAGCCGAGCTTATTTAATAGCCACGATTCCCTCTCTCTGCTCTCCCCTCCTTGACCGCTTTGCCCCTTTGCCTTTCTTTGACCAGGTCTGAGTGACTGGGATGACGATGAGATCCTGGCTTCGGTGCTGGCCGTTTCGCAACAGGAGTACTTGGAAAGCATGAAGAAAGGTGCCCTGCACCGAGACAGTGGTTCTGACAAGAGTTGATACCTGGTTCCGGCTCTTGCGCTCGCCTGACACCCCTTTGGTGTGCATGTTTTGGCAGGAAGGATGATAACACTTGGAACCCCTCCCCTCCTCCACTGCTGCTGATCAACGCTCCTTCAGCTGCCCCTTTGCTCCCCACTTTTGGCTCTCCGCAGAAGACTCCCCCCTCTGGTGCGCTGAGAAACAGACAGGTGCAAAAGAGAGACAGGATCTCTTCCCCAAGGAGCTGAAACACTCACAAACTGGGGCATGCTGGGCTTCCCCTTCATCTGCCGTTTTTCATTATTAAAAGAAATAATTGAACTGGTCCTCAAGAGAGCCCCCCCCCCCTTTGGATTGGAGGGGTTGAGTTTGCCTGCGGGGGTGGGGTGGGGAACGGACGTTGGCTTTAGGGGTGTGGAGAGACCGTAGCTGCCTCAGTAGAAGGAAAATGCCACTGTAGGGCCTGCTGGTTTCCCTCACCCTGGAGGCTGGAGGGGAATCATGTAATTTGGGGACAAGGAGAAGAGGACTTGATAGGACACCACTTGTTTTTTTGCTCTTTCAGCCACATTCCCTGCCCTAAGGGAAAAGATTTCAGCAAAGCAGGTCCTAAACCTGCAGCCATTGAAGTCAATTCTCCCTTCCTCCAAAGAAAAGTCTCTCCTCCCCCCCCCTCCCTTGTCTATAAGATGCTGTCCCTTTTTCACTCGGTGCAATAGCCTCTCTTTCTCTTCCCACCCACCTCTTTGTTCACGTGTGGCTCTTGACCACCCAGCAGGCATCACTTCTTCCACCATTGCCAATGGGTTGGTCCAGCTATCTGGTCTAGCTGCTCTCATGGCTGTGCTTCGTTGGCCTTGATCCCTCCTGCTGCTGCCTTTTCGATTCTCCCTGTGCCTAGCAGCAGAGGGAGAGGGGGCACCGCTCACCGGTCAGTGTCAGGACGTCCCCCTGAGCAGGTCTGGCCTTAGGGTAATGCTGAGAGGAAAAGAGACTGGGAACCAAATGGACTCTGGACAGAAAATAAAGCGATGGAGGCTGCAGCTAACGTGGAGGGGTGCCAAGCTCTCCAGGGGCAAAAATAGACTTGAACTCCCATTCTAAGGGCTGGTTCAAACCGGGGAGCCTCTCCTGGGTCCTGGACTGTTGATGGACTGGCTTGAAAGTTTAAAACAAAAAAAAAACAAAAACAAAAAGCCAAGGAAGGAAGTATTTCTGGTAATCTTACCTTTTCCAGGTGTGGTGTCTTCCTCACTACATATGTAGTTATAATCTACCTATTGTGGCCATTTTACTGTCCAAGCCTTGGTCTGAACAAGTGTTTCTTTACACTCAAATGTAAAGAGGCCATGTGCTCAGCTCCTCTTGCTGTCTTCATGCTGAGTCCCAAATTCCTGGAGGGACAGGAGATACGCTGACATTCCTGCCATCCCCATTTGTTGCTCTCTTGACGCTTCAAAGAGACATCTTTGAAAAGTGGGGAGGGGAGTCGTCTGCTGCTTTCGAAGATGGATCCTGGAGACTCCACGGATGGCTGGTCTAAAAGTGGTATTTGGTGCCTGAAATAAAAAATATAGGCAGAGTTGACCTCCTGCACGCTTTCTCTCTCTCTCTTTCTCTCTCTCATTTTTTTCTCCTTCATTTTTGTTTTGTTTTGTTTGTGCAGTGAGCGATGAACCTCTCTGCATTGGGTGAGGGGGAGGGAGGAACTGAATTTGGAAAAGCTGAGGTGGGTGCTCTTACAGTCTACAAGAATATTTATGCTGCTGTTTCTCAAGCATTCAATTGAGTTCTCTGCTTTCCAGAAAACTCTTCTCTTGCCAATGAGGGGTTATGTTTGGTTGATGGGTCTGGTTGAAAAAGCACCTGGGGACAATGAGTCTGGTTGCTTTTCTAGGGAACTTCGATGGACAGTTCCTTAAGTCTCCCAAGTAGGAAATGGGATGCCATTGTTTACCTGCTGAAAATGAAAATGCCACATGGCTGTCTCTCCGGCAGGGCCATGTGCTCCACCCAAGGGCAGCTCATTCAGCAATGAAGGTCCCTTGATCAAAAACACACATTCTGTGAGATTAGTGTCAGCAGAAGAAAATCATGTACGTTGATCTGGTAGAACCAATCAAATAGGTTTGAGGTGCCTTAAATCAGGGGTCTTCAAACTTGGCCCTTTTATGACTTGTGGACTTCAACTCCCAGAATTCTTTAGCCAGAGTGCTTGGCTGAGGAATTCTGGAAGTCCATAAGTCATAAAAGGGCCAAGTTTGAAGACCCCTGCCTTGAAGGAAGGATATCCATGCTCAGTACCATTAGTCATTGTTCCTTTGCAAAAGGGCAGAAAGTTTGTTTGCAAAAAGGCAGGATATTAGAAAATATAGAAGTCTCTCATCAGTGCCATAAGGACTACCTCCTTGAGAAACAACAAGTTGAGATCCTAAGCAGCATGATAGAGGTGGATGCCGAAAGCCATCTTTGCATGCAGGACTTCAGTCTCTACTGGGAAGAAAAAGACAAATCTCATCTCCTATTGATCTGTTTTTTGTGTTTTTTGTTTTGCATCTGGGCCTCATTCCTTGCCTGCCCTCTTTGTCACCTAACAGGCTGCTACTTGTTTCTTGGTACGACCCTGGAGGTTTCTGTGACCTGCTGTGCTATCACCTCTGAGGGAGAACAGGTTTTTAATTGAAATGTGGCAGCCAGGGATTGGCGTTCCTTTCCCATGTTTCTGTATTGAACTGGAGCAATAGCTGATAAGTAGCAGTCAATCTCCTGTCTGCCCAATGCCAATCCCTTCTCACTCTGCTTGCAAACTAGCTTGTGCTGATAGATTTTAGAGTACTGCATCCGTGCAACTGCTAAACTGTCCAGAGTTGGAGAAACCTGGTCTAGTAGTCACAATCCACTTTTCCAGAAAACGTGGTAAGAGAGACACCGTGCTGACAAAATGGTAGGTTTGAAGCGACAAGCATAAAGTCCAAGCTGTGGCCAAAAGGAGGAAAAGTTTGGAAGTAGCACTGGGACTGCGGAAGCTAAGAATGAAAGAGCTCTGTTGGGTCAGGGCAGATGGTTCAAAATACACCCTGTTGCTTTCCAAGGAGTCGGGAGCAATTTTGGTCAATGAAAAGTGGTTTTGAAGTATTTTGGCTTCCAAATATAAATGCGGTTATAGTGGTGGGAGGGATGATAGGAGTTGTAGTCCAATATTTTTGAAAGGTACCATATGCAGGCAGATGGAGGGTTAACATGCTAAGGATGTATGTTGGACTGGTCCATACTTGCATCAGAAAGGAACCCAGGATTGCCAAGATGACAGAATAAAAAGCCTTTTCAACGTGCCTTGGCTGCTGTGTCGAGGGAAATGCTTCCCTGTAAATAACTACAAGCAGAAAACCAACATTAAGAGGAAGTGGGCAGGAATCATTTATCTGACTGCTGGTTACTTCTTGCGTTATTTGCATGAAGCTTGGTAAATAGAAAAGCAATAAAAATAATACCCGGATGATACAGTTCCAGCTGCATCTGGTAGATGAGATGGAACGATTTTAGATTTAAAATACCTGATAAGTTAGTTTATCCTGTTCCCCCCTGCCCCCACACACGTACATCTATGCTTTGTTCTGCTTTAAAATACAAGGTCCTCAGGAGCTCTATATATTTCAGTAATGTAGACGTTGCTAGTACATTATCCTACCTCACTTTTCTGAGTCTGGTACTCGCTACCATGAGGGAAGAGTTTGCACTGCAACTTGGCTAGCAGTCTTTGCGGGGGTTGGGGGGGAAAGATCCTGTAATGTATGGTCTCTGGCCCTCATTTTGACATCTCAGGAGATATTAGAAGAAGATGCAGCTGCTTCCAACACTGGAGTAGTTCAGAAATAAGCAAAGTGGGGTGAGGATGGTAGCCACATACTATTCGTGTCTAAGGACTGGGGGGGGGGAGAGGAAAGAGTCCAGTGCTTTCCAAATCTGGGTAGATCACACATAATTGAGTAAAAATGGTTTTTCTTTGGGGACAACAAACCCGTTACAACAAGGATATTTAAATTGATTTAAAGATTGCCATGCCTACTAAAATATATTTGAAAATCTCCCAAAGTATTCCTTTTAAGACCAAAACCAATGAATTTACCAAGGGTAATTTGTTGAAATGGCATAAAGATCACTCAAAGATGTGTTTTTGTAATAAAGTTACAACCATTTATTCAACTACTGAAGTTACAATGGTGCTGAAGGGAGGAACTTGTGATTGGTCCTTAAAGACTTTCAGATAAATGGTTTCGGGTGATGATGGAAAAAAATTGGGAATCACTGTCTGAGGCAGTTCCTAGGAAGGAAATGGAAACTTATAGTGCTGCTACTAATGTGAAAGCAGTACACGTCTTGTCAAATATAAATGCTGGCTATGTTTGTGCAGTTAGTTCACTGAATCAGAAGCTTGCCAACCACATTTTAGCATAATGTATTATGTGAACCCAGTCCATGTGATTAAGGTTCAGTAGGTTGTGTGAATACCCTAAAATACATGAATGCCATTAATGGATCGAGGTGTTTTTGCAACCCCACCCCTCCCATGATAGATTATGACTGTCAATCTGAGAATACTTCCCCAACAATACCTATTTGGAGGCTGGTGAATGCAGGAGCAGAATTTCCAACTATAGATTAAACTTTATTTAATTGACCTGGCATCAATATTGCTTCGATAAGTTTATAACTATTGAACGTAAAAGACAGCAAAAAGATATTGGGACAATACCCTTATTAGACCAATTCTAGGTTTTAAGAAGCAAGCTTTTAAGAACCTGATCTTTCCATCGGTCCACTGTATACCCTTCATCAGTGTGGCCATTTCCCATAATTCCCAACCATCACAGTGATGTCAAATGGAGGACACAGTTTAGGGAAGGAGGGCACAGTCCAACACCTGGGAAAAACAACATTTCTTTGCCTACAGCTGAGAAAAAGAGTAGGCAGGACTAGAACAAATAAGAGGATGTAGATGGCCCTGAGCTTAATCTTTCTTTTTAAATGATGCTATAATTTAAATCTAAAGTGGTATTTTTCCCCTCTACATAGCCTTTTCGGTAAAAATAATGACAATTTGGACACTTTTTAAGGCACTTTGTGGCCCTATTCAGAAGGAAGGGGGTCATCTGTGCTTTAAGATTAGGGCGTTCTGTGCTACCCTCCACCCTTCTTGGCATCTCAAAGAAGGGCTTGATGCAGACATGGCAGCCTGAATGGTAGTAAACACAGAATCCTCCCTTTATTGCATCTGAGTCCCCATGTTAACCC